TTTTGTTTTTTTTTTATTTTGTACAAGTCTTAGATTTAAATAATTTCACGCGCACGCACGCACACACACCCCCCAGGCACACACACTCAGTATATACGGCGCTATGTACATACACACATATACACCCACATGTATGTTTTGCTCCCATATACACGTGTGGCCGGACACACACAGACCCCCCCCTCTCCCCCCTCCTCGCCCGCCCCGCCGGGGGCCCCGCCGCGGCCCGTGTGAAAGGGCCCCCCCGCTGGGCCGGGGGAGAAAGGCGCCATTGTGCGGCCCTTTCTCCCGCTCCTCCTTGACACTCATTTTCCGCGCCCAGCCGCTGACACAGATACACAGGGCTGGAGCGAAGGACACCGAATCCCCAGCGCATCCCGGAGGGGCAGGAGCGCGGCTCCGGGCTCTTTTGCAAGGGGAGGCATCCTCCAGCCTTGGCACGGCGGCAGCGGGAGGACAGGCAGCTCCATCCCATCATCATCATCATCATCATCCCTCCGACAACACTCGTGGCCCCGTGTCGGCTGCCCCCGGCACCCACAGGCAGCTCCATCCCATCATCATCATCATCATCATCCCTCCGACAACACTCGTGGCCCCGTGTCGGCTGCCCCCGGCGCCGGCACTGAAACCACCACATTGGTTTTTCCGTTACAAACCAAGTTAAAGACCTCATTTTTACAACAAAATATGGCATTAAAAAAAAAAAAAGACAGAGAGAAGACCAAAAACAAAACAAAAAAAAGAATCCAGAACTCGCAGCCATGGCTCCCTTTGCACAGCCCAGCACAGCATCCCCAGCTCGGCCAGCTGACAAAGGTGATGAAAGAAGGATGGGGAAGGAGATCCAGCAAGGTGGAGCCACAGCTGGACCCGACAGAGGGGCTGCTCCTTCCCCAGCCCCCTTCCTCACCCCTCAGGCCCCATGTGCTGTCACCCCCCAAACCAGGAGCCCTCAGGGGCTCCCCTGGGGTGGCCGGCCGTGGCGAGGAGGGACAAGAGTGACCTGGCCCAACCCCAACCTTCATACCCTGCCGGCCAACCTTGTGCTTTCCAACCCCCAGAGATGCTCAGCCCAAGGCGTGGGGATGGGGACACCTCCTCTGGCTCAACCGAAATCACAACCCAGAAAAGGACCCCCTCCCCACCCGGGTCAGGCTGACACCGAGCCGGGGGATAAAGGGGACATGAGAGCAGGGGGCTGCAGCCCCCATGTCCCCCCCGGGGCTGCTGCTCAACCACCACGCTCTTACAGAGCCACGAAACCCCCCTGGCCATGGGGAGACCCACAAGAGGGTCCTCCAGCACTAGGAGAAATAGCCCAGGCTCATAAACCACAAAAAGCCACCCGAGTCAGCAGGGCTGCTCACGCACAGGAATATTTTGCCTCTTGGCTATTGTTTAACTAGCGTAAGAAAAGGGAAATATTTATTGTCTCTGAATGCATAAAGGTGGCTCTGGGATTTGTCAGAGATGTGGATATTACAAAACATTTTATCGGGAGTCTTCCAACAGTCTGAAGGGAACTGTGTTGGGGAAGAAAAAAAGTAATAATAATAATAATAATCATCCACTTTCTATAGCGGTATAAAGCATCTAAATATGGGCAGTGACATGCTACCCTCCCAAACCTCTCTGGCATTTCAGGAATGTAAACAGAGGGGGGGTTTGTTGAATTTTTTTTTTTTTTTTCTTTTTAAAAGTGGGTGGGGGAACAGAATCAAGCGACCAGACAAAATGAAAACAGATTCTCAGCTCAGTCCCGTCTCCCACAAACTGCTACGACAACTCTATTAAAGTGCATTTCAGTATCACCCCTCTCAGGAACCTTACACACACAAACCTCCTCTTCCTTCACAAGAAAAGGTAATTCAAGTTAATACTCCACTAGAACAGTTTTAGCCTTTTTTATGGATTTCTGCTTTTCCCCGCCCCGACTTTGTAGCAACATTATTATACTGTTGTTGTTGTTGTTAGGCTGGAAACGCCCCCTCCCCGACAATACTGTAAATTCAAGTGCTTACTTCAACTGTCAAGGGCAACAGTTCTGGATACAGCACACTTGATTGTACAAGCAACACCTTATATCACAATCAAGAAATCAGGGCACTTTGCCCTCCGAGGGAGTAACACCTTCCCCCCCTCCACCATCCACAGCATCATATGAAAAATAACAGTTAAAAAAAAAAACAACCCAGAACATAATTAGCTATGAACATCGTTTGTTATGTACACTGGCTCCTGCAACAGATGCATGAACTCCGTTAGTTCTCAGTTTTATTGTCCTTTCTAAGAGCAACTGAGCAGTCACTGTTGTCTCCATTTAAATAAAACAACTCAGAGTTGAAATATATATATATAGATATATATAAGCATTTTTTCTTAAATAACATATTTACATCTAATAGAAAATATAACTCTAGAGATAATCTTTCCAACGAAATGTAAGACGTGGAAGAAAAAAAAAAAAAAGAATGAGTTAATGAATTTAGGACAGTTTCTAAATCCTCGCCAGGACACAAAAAAAAAAAGAAAAAAAAAAAGAAAAAAAAAAAGAATTAAAAAAAAAATTTTAAAAAAAAGGCCCACCAAGTTCTAACCAAGCTTTTGTCTGGATCTGACCGATGAAAACCCCAGCACCACCTCCACCACCAAACTCATCGCTTCTCCTTAAAGAATCCTTGGTCCGTGCTGCTCTCCTTGATGGTGACGGTCAAAAAGTTAGAGGTCACATCAGTTACCACCACCTTCTCCAGGTTGTTGAGGGAAGGGCTCCAGGACTCCTCCTCGGGGTCCCCCAGGATCCTGGCCACGGGGATCCTGGCGATGAGGGAGGGTCTCCCCGCCTGGCCCCCCACGCCGTCGCGGTACAGGCTGCCCACGGTGCCCGGGCTCACCGCCCCGTGCAGGAGCTTGGGCCCACCGGGGTCCAGCCCCCCCTGTCCTTTGGGGTCCAGAAAGTCTGCCCGGTGCTTGGCCAGCCGTGCGGGGTAGGGCTCGGTGCCTCCCAGCTTGGCACCCACCTCGGCTCGGTTGGGGCCGGGCAGGGTGCCGGGGAGGTCGGGGTCCTGCCGCCGGGCCAGTTGGATGACGCTGTGTCCCGACCCGAATTTGGCCGCCCCCGCCGCCGCCTCCTCCATCTTCCTGGCCTTCAGGTAGTCCCCCACCTTGTCCCCCGGCTCCCCCAGTTTCCTCTTGGAGGCATCCAGAGTCTCCGCCAGGTCTTTGTAAAGCTCCTTCCTGGGCTTCGGGCCTCGCTTTTTGGGGGTCTCCCCAGGTTTCTCCTCCACGCGGATCACCCGGTCCCGGATGCCGTCTCCCTTGGGGGTGCTGGTGCTGGAGCTGCCCTGGGGGGCCAGGGCTATGTTTCTCAGTCCTTCCCTAGCCCGGGACGTGGAACCCAGCTCCTGGGGGGACCTGCCGGGATACGGCACCCGGATCCCCCTGGAAGAGTCACTGCGGAATTCATAGGTTTTGGCTTTTGCCTTTGCCTGGGCCTGCAAGGAAAATAAATCAACCAGTGACTTTATTATCCTGCCACCCGGCTGCATAATTACAACTTACAAGACAAGGGGCCGCCTTCCCGAGGAGCATCCTCTTTCGGGGGCCGGGGAGGGACCCTCTCCCCTCTGTGGCTCGTAGCCTTTGGCCGGCACCGGCATGCAGGGCTGGGGGGGGGGCTCCAGCTTCCTTACCTTTAGCAGGAAGGTTTTGGGCTTGGGGCCTCGTTTTTTGGGCCCATATAGCTCCATTTCTCGCTCCCTAGAGGTGTTAAAAAAACCAAAGCTTCAATTCAGCATAGCTACAAGACAGCAACACATTTACAAGCGGCGGGGCTGCGGCCAGCAAAGGCCTTGTACCTTTCCTCAAAGGCCGCCAGCAACCGGGCGTCCAGGATGTTCTCCTCGGGCTCCCAAGTGCTGTACCTGGGGGGGGGGGACACACATGGGGGACACACAGAGAGGGAGCAGCGTGAGGAGCCAGGAAGAAGCACAGAATAGATAAAATAATAGCAATAAAATAAAATAAAAACCCCTAACCAAACCCGGGGCATAAAGGAAAGGACCCAAGTTTCCTTCCCACTACAATGGGAGCACGCAGGGGTTTGCGGGCGCCGGCTCCCCACCCGTGGAGCCCCCCCCGGACACCCGGCCCACTTACTTCTGAGACCAGCCCTTCCATTTCACCAGATATTCCATGCGCCCCTGTGGATGCAAAGAAGAAAAAAAAATATATAAATATATATATATATATATATAT